CTGGGACTTCTCTCCGCTAGAACTATGAGAAAACACATCTCGATTGACTAAGTCATCCAGTCTGCGGCTCTGTGTTATGGCAGCAAATGAATACAGGGCAGAATCTGGGGTGGATGGGAGCTACAAGTGCTCAGCTGGCTGTGGGGCACCCCTGCTGGGGTCAGGAGGGCAGATTAGAGAAGGACACCAGGATCAGGAGATGGGGGTAGGGGGGCTGTGTATGCCAGGCTCAAGATTTTAGATTTTTCCTAAAAGCCATGTGGTACCATGAAAAATTTTAAGCTAGAAATGGGTCTGTAACTACGGTGCCCAAAAGGGGGGGAAACCAACAAGACCATGACAGAACAAACAAATCTTAGGAGTGAGAAACAGCTCCTTGGGACTTTTGGCTCATAGAAATAACTCCAAAGAAGGCCGGGTGGCAGAGAGAAAAGCCTACAGGCTTTGAAGTCAAACAGACCTGGATTTGAATTTTAGTCCCACTATTTTGTCTGTGCTCTGATTAATCCGCTTGGCTCACAAGTGTTTTCACTGAGCGCCTGCTATGTGTTCTAAGCACTGGGAATCAGTGACCAAAATAGGAAGCCCTTGCTTTCAGAGAGCTTATATTCTGCCATTCACAATAAGCAAATTCATCAATAAATACGTAATAGGTCAAGTGATGATGAGAACTATGTGGAGAATAAAGCAGGGGAATAGATACAGAGGGGATGAGGGACACTTTTTTCAACCAGGTGGTCAGGAAAACAGCACTGAAGCAGAAACCTGGAGGAAGTGAGGGATTGCATCACATAGAAATCCAGGACAAGAGTATTCTGGGTTGGGGGGAACAGCAGGAACAGAAGTCTCGACAGGTGTGGCAGTCAGACTCACAGCTGCTGCCGACCCTTCCAGAATGCAGAGGCCAAAGAGCCAAAGACCACAGCACTTGCGCTGCGGAGATGACCAGAGCATCCTCAGGAGTGATGGGGCTGAAGGCCAAACCGGGTAGGCTGAGGAGTGAACGGAAAAGGAAGAGGTGGAGAAGGCAGCTCCAGACGCTCTTGCAAGACTTTTTGCTCCAAAGGAAATCAGCCAGATGGGGTGGTGCCTAGAGGAGGATATACAGTCATGGGAATCTTTTCTTCCAGGAGACATCACAACGTGCTTGTGTGATGATGGATGGATCAAGTGCAGCAGGAAATGGCTGACTCAGGAGGGAGAGGCAGTATTTGTAAGGGTCCAATCCTGCTGGGTGAGAGGGGAGGGTTCTGGGGCATTCCCCTGCAGGCACCAGCCTCACGAAGAGGCAGGGGCAGTGGGGAGCATTTTGTGAGAGCAGGGAAAGTGGAGAAAGAGCAAATACAGTGGTGCAAACAGGTCGGAGGGTCTGGGGCAGGTGGCTTCAGCCTGGTAGCGCCCCTGGAGTTGGTGCGTAAGAACTGATGGTTAAATTTACAGGAACCTTTGGTGAATTGGTTAGTAAACCATTGGCAGCTTGAAATAGGCTACAGTGGGAACACTTAAATCATGCAAGCTGGCAAGTGCTACAGATCAGTGTCTTCTTTTTTAAACTTTTTTTTTGGCCACGTTGGGTCTTCGTTGCTGTGTGCGGGCTTTCTCTAGCGGCAGCCAGCAGGGGCTACTCTCTAGTTGTGGAGCGTGGGCTTCTCATTGCAGTGGCTTCTCTTATGGGGACACACGGGCTTAGATTCTCTGTGGAATGTGGAATCTTCCTGGACCTGGGATTGAATCCGTGTCACCTACATTGGCAGGCAGATTCTTAACCCCTGGACCACCAGGGAAGTCCAATGTCTTCTTAACCAGAGAACCATTGTTTAATATTTTCCAACATCTCCAATCCAAAGAGATAGTTCTCTTCACATTGCCTCACATCCTCAGGGAGACAGGAAGGCAAAGTGATGAACTGAGCATGAGGAAGTGGAAGAGCATTAGAGATATGAGGAGAAAGGCAAAGATATGTGACAGTCATCTCAGAGTCAGGAAAGAGTCCTCTTGGCCAGGAAACTCCCTGGCTTGCCCAACAGTGCTGGGCTTGCTCATTCTCCTGGGCAGTTTGCTTGGCCACTTTGAGTCTCACTTTGCACATTTGTTAAAGTGGAGTCCTGATTCCAAGGTTATTGGGAGCATGAAGTGAGGTCAGGCACATAAAGCATCTGGTCAGAGAAGGGGACAGCGGCTGAATGGGTCGTGTTCTGGATCTTGGGTTTGCAGAGGAAGGAAAAGCTGAAGACGAGTCTTGCTTTTGGGTGTTCAAGGAGAGTGCCTGGTGCCCCTTCCCCCCACTGACCTCCTCCATGGACTGGGATGGATGGAGTCCAGCTGCAGGCTCAGAACATATTGCCCCAACTCCCCCCAATCTACATATTTATCACAATATTGCAACTGCATAATTTAAAGTGGGTGTTAAAAAATATTCCAATATGTTATGTGATTTTTGCATTCCTGGGTGAAGAAAAATTGCTGCAAGAAGGTGGTTAATTATTTCAAAAGATGAATTCCATGAAATAAAATAAAAATAGACTCCCTGTCCAGAGGGAAAGTGAGAAAAAAAGGGGGAGACATGAGGAATGGTCCCCTCTAAATAGGATGTGGATGTTTCAAGTAGTGAGTGAGGACATGGGATGGAGGCAGACGCTGGGCACCTGTCACATGGCCAGGAGAGAAGAGGACAGCAGGTAGAGAGGGTGCCAGCAGGGAGGCCAATGAGGGAGCTGTGATTGCTCGGGACACGGTGGCACCTTGGACAAGAGAGGAGGTTGGTAATCAAGTAACGTGATTGAGTCCGAAAGTGTCTGCAAGCATTGCATTGACAAGTGCTGGTTAAACTTGAGGCATGGAGACAAGGGAAGAGGCAAGGTGGGACTTTTATTTAAGGGACAGCTGGACAGGGGTGCCTTTTGCTGAAGTTCTTGATGAAGTTCAATAAAGAACCACTTTCTTCCCCATCTGAGTTCTGATCAATTTAAGAAATGAGGCCAAGTCTGATGAAGGCCAGATGTCTCCTTGGTTCCTGATGAAAGCTAGGTGAGGGAGCATGTTTATGGGTGAGAGCCAAACATATCGGCAAGCCAAACCCCAGAATGAGGTCCATGTAACCCTGGGAAGTGCTGACATGGGGAGCTGGCCCAGAAAAGCTCTAAGGGCAGAGAAGAGCATCAGAGAAGTCCCACTCTCTGTCGGCAGCTTGCTTACAGAGGATTCAAGGGCACACTGAGCCCAGCTGACCCTTCCCCAAACTGTCAGTCAGGAAAGTCACTCTGCCTCCTCTGGGGTGGGAGAGGGAAGGAAGGGAGGGAGCCAGGAGGTAGACTCACTGAAGCATGAAGACAGCAGCATTTGGCATCACCCCCGAAACACCTTGCTCAGAAATGGGGCAGCCAGCATGACAAGCAGGCTTTGGGGAGGGTGACAGACTCAGTGTTGGCTGCGGGAGACCCAGGTGGGTGGAGAAGTTTGCTTTGCCATAGGATACTGGAGTGCCTGAATTGAAGCTTCCCTCTCCCTTGCTTCTAAATGGTTTTTTGAGCAAAAGAGGAAGAAGCAGGACTTCTCTGGTGATCCAGTAGTTAGATCCTGGCACTTACACTGCAGGGGGCCCAGGTTCGATCCCTGGTCCAGGAACTAAGATCCTGCAGACCACGCAGTGGGACCAAAAGGAGGAGGTGTGTGGAGGAAGGAGGGGAGGGAGGGAAGAGGAGGAAAGGCTTTAGGAGAATTCTGTGGCCGGAAATTTGCATAAAACCTCTTTGCTCATCTCTCTCCCTCACTGCACTGAGGTTGGCTGTGTGGTGTATTGTTAACCCACTGTCTGCCTGCTTCTGATTCTTCTCTAACCTCTTCTCCCAGTCCAGAGGAATCTCCGGGAGGGCTGCTGAATGAATCAATCATTGATGGAGAGGAGGAGGCAAGCCCTTCTCTCCTCGGCAGTATGAATTATCCTCGGAATCAGATGAGTGTCACTGAACACAGAGTTGCTTGCCCCATCACAGGAAGGGGTGTGGGTTCACACCTCCATTTCTTCTCCAGCTCAGGCGTGGCCTCAGCCAGGGGAGATAGATCAGCATTGTTGTGTGGCGGATGGCAAGTCCTGTGTCCTGGTGCAGTGAGAAGGCAGAAACTGTTTTTATGAAGGTGGCAGGAGCTGTGAGCTGCCTGGCCTGGGAGGGTGCAGGCGTCCTTCTTGGGGAACTCTGCTCCTTTGTTAAGGCATCATCCTGTGGGCCAGTTTGGTCAAGGAGGTCAGACAGTGAAGTGCCTCAAAAGGAGTTCAGAATGGCTCAGGGGTGCTGAGGAGGGGCTAGGGAAGAGAAGAGTCTAGAGAGGGGCCCTCCTGTGATGGAGAAGATGGCATAGAACAGTGGGAGGGCCAGCAGGGACCACACCAACTTTCATGAGAAACTGCTTCCTGTGCAATCAATGGCCTTGTGTGGGCCATTCTTTGGGGAACGAAGGAAGAAGGTTGGCAGTGCCAGGGCACGCTGCTGTGCCCAGCAGCCTGGGGAGCGGTGACCTATGAGGGAGCTGGGCACGGAGACACAGAGCCATTGGAGAAACAGGCTGCAGTGCGGGCTTGAGACGAGCCGCACCACCAAACAGAGAGAAGGAAAGTGACAAGGTGGCTGCGACAGGGCAGGGGCAGGAGGGGGACTCGGTTCTGCTCTTCAGGGAGTGGGGGTGGTTGTTTGGTTTAGATATTAAAGTTAAAGCTGAGCCCAGGGCCCTAAAGGCCTCAGAGGCCAACAGATGGCACTAATCATGAGTCACGTGCCTGACGGTTTCGGGTCATGGCTATGATAACATCATTTCCCCTCGCTGGCCCCCTGTCATGACTTCTTGAGTGTGAGAGCAAGGGTGGGCATTTCAACCAGTGCCTGCAAGTGCCAGGGTGGGAGTGAGTAGCTCACGCAAATGTCACACATCATGTTTGTGACAGAGGAGAAAAGCTTGTGTCTCACTGGCATGAGCAATAGACAAGGAACTGGGTTGGTGGTGAACAGTGGGCAGTTTGTCCATCTCGGGGGCCCTGAGAGGCACCACCTCCTCCAGTCCCTGCAGACAGGCGGTTGTGAGAACCCGAGAGTTCACCAGCCCCACCGCAGACCCACAAAGAAGCCATCCCAGCCCTGCCCTCAGGCAGTGGGTGGGGGGTTCAGCTCTGTAAGGAACGTGACTGGTCTGCGTTAACAATTCTAAGAGAGGAGCCAGGAGGAGTTCTGAGGCTGAGATCATGTTTAACCACGCTTGAGGTCAGTGTGAGTGGCTGCTTAAGGGAGAAGGTGGTGTATCTGCATCCGAGGGAGAGGACATGTAGGTGGTGAACACACCTGTGTGTGTGAGGGTCCGTATTTGCATGTGTGATCACATGTGTGTGCGTGTGACTGTCGGCTGAGAAGGCAGGCAAGTATTTGGATGTCTTCATCAAATGTGTGTGAGTATCAGTAAGTGTGAACAAGTGGGATGTAATTAGGGGGCGGGCGTGTGGACATGTGTGTGTGTGTGTGTGTGTGTGTGTGTGAGTGTGAGTGAGTGCTTGTGTGTGGGTCAGCGCACTGGTGACCATGCACCACTCATGAGCCCTCCGTGCCTTAGTCTCCTGGTGGCTGAAATGGGGATGGTGAGCACCCCCCTCCAAACTTGTTTCAAGGATCTAACACGCGTAGAGATGTAGCAGAGGGCCTGGCACACAGTGGGGGCTCTACCAGCCCTCGCTGCTGTTACCGCAAGTGTGGCCTGCCTTCGCAGATGAGCATTTGCCTGTGTGAACAGGTGTGTGGATGCGAAGGCGTGGGGGTGCCCAGGTCTCAGGTGGTGATTCCTGGCACAGGGAAACAGGAGACAGACAGATAGGAGCCCCGAGACCTGGGTGAGGCACCAACGAGACCCAGGCTCAGCCCATGTCCCCGAAACACTGAGCCCTTATCCACTGCCCTGATCCAGGAGGAGGACGGAGAGTCTGGCCAGACAAGGGCTCCAGGGGCCCTCTTGCCCTCCTGCTTCTGTACCTACCCAAAGATCGGACAGGAGGTGGGGGCTGGGGACAGACCAGCCAAGGGACCTGTCCCTCCCCTTGCAACCCGACAGCAGTGGCCCAGTTAAAATCAGCAGGTCACCGGTGCTCCTGGCAATGACTCACGCACAGAAGGCTCCATTCCCTTTAGGGCTCTTCTAAAAATTTTTAGAGCTCTTTAAATTTTATTCACCCCCGACATCAAACCCAGGGAGGAAGTAATCAAAGAGTCTGGGGGGAGGAGGCACAGCACACATACGTGTGCACGCGCATACCTGCTCACTCATAGACCCATACATATACTAGCACACACACATCCCTTTGCCACTCCCACACACAGACTCAAACATTCACACATCTAGATGCACACTCAAATACACAAACACACGCTCCAACTCATGCCATCCAAATCCACACCCACTCTCACAAATGCCCAGAGTGAGCCACACCTTGCACACACTCAGATACACCCAACCATACTGGTGTTCTCTCACTGTATAACAAATGCCCACACACGGTGGCCTAAAACAGCACATATTTATTATCTTGCAGTTTCTGTGGGTCCAGAGTCTGACGTGTCTTAGCTGGGTCCTCTGCTCCAAACCTCCGAAGGCAGCAGAGAAGGTGGCCACTGGGCTGCATCCTCATCTGGAGGCTCAAGTCGGGGGAAGTCCTTCTCCGAACTCACTGAGGTTGTTGGCAGAATGTGTTTCTTTGCAGCCTATGACCGAGGGCCCCAATGGACATTGGCTGAAGGCTGCTTGCAGCTCCTTGCCCCAAGGGACTGACTTGACTTCAACCCATCGACATGGAGGACGTCGCTAGCTCATGCTAGAAAGATGGAGCTATCTGCACATGTGTGTGTATGTGTGTGTGTGTTGGTGTATGTACCTCATCTCAGGAGTGACAGCCCATCACCTTTGCCATGATCTTTTGGTTAGGAGAAAGTCAGAAGTCCCACCTCACCTGCTCACATAGGCTTATTCACCCTGGATATGCACACTCAGGCATCACATACCACATAAGAGCGCCCATCAACCCCCTTACCAACCTCTGTACACACTCAGCCATCTCCAGGCCATCCTGGAAGCTTCCATATAGCCTGGTCAGACAGATGAACACTTGACACTAAAACCACCCTGGTAGCCAAACACCCTCAGAAACTAGAAGCAACCCCCCTGCCCAGCACCTGCTCCCCATGTCACTGCCTCCTGTGGCCTTTTCTGGCTTCCTGGCTTCTGGTCCCACCTCTTCTCCACCTGCTGTTTACACTCTCAGCATCCATACAGACCTGGTCCCTGAACTCCACCTCTGGGTAGATATTCATGACTCTTCCCCCCAGCCTTAGTCTTGCAACAGCCTGGCGTGACTGGCAACTCCTTTTCGAGTAAAATCAAAGACACTTTCTCAAGTCCCAGCACTTGCATCATCCCTTTCAGGTTCACATCAGCACAGATCCATTTTTGGGGGCCTCTTTTATAAGTCTATCCAATTGTCTGAAAATGATAATTAAAATGCAGAGCTGGGACTTCCCTAGTGGCCTAGTGGTTAATACTCCACATTTCCAAAAGCAGGGGCATGGGTTTGATCCCTGACTGGGGAACTAAGATCCCACATGCCATACAGTCAAAAAAAATTTTAAAAACCCCAAAAAACAAAAATGAACAATTCTCTCCCCTAAAACATAATGCAAGCCCTATAGAGCTCTCCAAAGGCTGATGCTGTGGGAGGAAATGGCAGAGATTTTAGACCCCAGGAACCTGGACACCCTTGGGAGAATCACTTCTCCCTGAGCCTTAGCCCCCTTGTTTATAAAATGCGAATAAGAAATTTTCCTAATCAGTATCAGCTAAAGCTAAATCTACATCTATTCCACGTCCAGCAACTCCACTCCTAAGTATATCCCACAGAAATGAGTGCCTATTTCCATCAAAGCATGATTACAGGATGTCCATAGCAGAGCTATTCATAACAGTCCAAACTGGAAACTACACAAATGTCCATCAGAATAGAATGAATTCCCTCTTTCTCCCCCTTTTCTCCTTCTTTCTCAATAAACACACACACACACACACACACACACACACTTTTCCGAACTAATATAAGGACATTCTCTTTCATACCTTTTTCTTACATAAAAAAACTTAATCCTAATTGAATGTGGACTGTAGAATAGAGGGAGGATAAAGACTAGAATGGACACACACATGGTGCTGCATTCATACAACATAGCGATGGAAAAGAACTGTCTAGAACTGCAGGCTCGGGTGTGTGTGAGTCTCATAATATCAAGTGAAAGAAGTCTGACACAAAAGTAAACATACTTTGTAATTCCATTTACAGGAAGTCCAAAAAGGAGCAGAACCAATCTAGGGCATTAGAAATCAGGGTAGTGACTACCCTTGGAGGAGACAGTGGCTGGAAAGGAGACACGTGGTGGGAGGTTGCATGGGTGTGTTCAATTCGTGACAAGCTGCTGAGTGGTACACTTAATATTTGTGCAGTTTTCTGTATGGATGTGTTACAGCCACAAAAAAAACCTCTAAAATAACAAAAGACTGACGCTGGATGCTTGGTACATAAGAGCCACTCCTGTTAGGACTAGCTCTTCCTTCTTGAAGACCATTCTGCTTCTTGAGGGGCAGGAAGAAACCAGAACATTCTGTCTTCCCTTAGCATTGTATGCGCACCAAGCAGTGTCTCTATGTCGTATCTCTCTCCCCAGACCGCACCCTGAAGCACTTTTGCTTTTGTGCTAAACATTTTTCACAAGCTCAGACTCCCCCTGGCCCAGCCTTCAAACCTGGAAGCCCTCATTCTTACCCTGTCATGCTCCTCCAGAGCATTCCTAATTACCCTCCTCCTTCCATCCTGGCTGGGCTGGGTAGCGCGCCCAGGGTGTTTGTGCTGATGTCTCTGGCTGCCCCTCCCCGCCTTGCCCGGCCCTCACAGTCAGATTGTCAGGATTTCCTCTCTGCTGTTTCATTCTGCAGCTTCATAATCAGCCTCAGCCTTACTGCGAATGCTTTGACATCCACTCTCCAGGGGAAGAGAAGGCCCAGGGAGCAGTCTGATCCAGGTGCTGCCAGGATGTTGGCACAGCTGGGGACACCCAGGCATTCTATTTGTGTGAGGGCTCACCAGGCCTCCAGGGATACAACCTGGTAATGACTTCAGAACTGACAGGTAGGCCCTGATAAACCAGGACTCACACTTTTGAATTAAAAACAGAGATTTTAATCTGTGCATCCCAGAGGCTGTCTGGGTCTTACTCTGTGGAAAAAGAGACTTGCGGTCTTTGGTCTCTGGAGCTGGGTGACAGTGGCAATGAGGGGTAGCTGGGGCAACTGAGATGGAATAGGAGTCAGGCAACTTCCACTGTAACGGGCAGATAGTAAACATTTGGGGCTTTGCAGGGAAAATAACCTGTAAATCAATGAGTGGGGCTGTGTTCAAATAAAACTATTTTCAAGACAAGCGTAGTTTGTTGATTCTTGATAAAGATGTTCAGCCTTTGAGAAATTCCTTGAGCCTCCTGGCTGTGAAAATGCCAGGCCCATATTCCCATATTCTACATTTGCAAGATTAACAAGATCATAGCAATCTCTTTCTCCTGGCACTGAGGATTAATCTCAGCTCGCCTCCTCTCTTCAGCCACCCTGGGAAGGGATTCAGGTGGATTCCAAATGTGAAATGTTGGCCTTCTCCAGGGTTCTGACCCATCACCCTCCATAGGAATGACTCCCAAATTATGAATGGAGCCCTAAGTCACCAAGACCACAGTTGGGATTCACCCTGACCCCTTCTTGTCCCTCATTCCCCTGTTGATTTCCTACATCTCCACCCTTTTCTGCCTGCTTTGTAACCCTTAATACAGGGTAGCATCCTCATCACTTCTGTCCTGGAAAACTGTAGTGACCTCCACTGGTCCCTATCTATTCCTTCATCTTCTTCTACATACCTACCAGAAAAATCTTTCCTCATTCAGATCAGCCTATGCCTCCAAAACCTCCCCTGGCTTCCCACGGCCTATTTACGAAGTCCACATTCCTCAGTTTAGGCTAGTGGATGCTTATGATTTGGCCACCCAGCCTCTTCTCATTTCTGGGACTTTTGTCCTCTTCCGGAAACTACCTCTTAATCTCTGATTCCTAACACAAGCCCATTTCTTCCACAGCCTTAGGGCTCTGGCAACCTTATTGGGAAGCATGACCCTGCCCCAAGCTGCAGTTGATTAGTTCAGCCTGAGCAAGCGACTCAAGCTGGCTCAATCACAGGCCATCCCTGTATCAATCAGACCTGAAAACTGACGAGAGGTCAGGTTCCTTGGATGGCTGGACCGTAGGACACCTAAATTTAGGAGATCTTATTGGCCATGCCCTGCCATGAGGACCCAGGAGAAGGAAGTCAGGTGCCAGAGAGGGAGGGGAGCAGACAGGCAGCGCAGAGAGAAACACAGCATGAGACAAAGCTTGTTTCCTGGGCTGGATACTAAGGGTTTCAGGCCCTGGTTTTGTCTGCATCCAACCCCTGCCTCAGGGAGCCAGCCCAGTCCTCCAGCTCACCTGCATTTGGACTTGAATCTCCCAAAGGTGCCTCCTGTTGCTAGCAACCAAAAGTGACATTCCAAATCCTTAACAACTGGACCATGTGGCCCTAACTATCAGTGACACTAGCCCTAGAGCAGGGTCCCCAAGGTCACCTGGTAGTCGGGACATTAACCCTTTAGTGTCTTGAGGATGAAACAAGCCAGCAGTTTGAGGGAGAGCCAGGATGGCCTGGCGTCAGGGCTGGGTGGCCTGGAATCAGGGGTGGCAGCGGTTGCTGTCCAGGGATTTGGGCCAGCAACTGTTTACCAACCAAGCAGAAGTGTTACAGTAGCTGAAGAATTTGCCAGCAGAACCAATGAAATCAACGCAGCCAGACCCTTCACACTCAGACTGCACCAGTCTTAGTCAGCTTGGGTGGCCATAACAAAAGATGGTACATTATTTTCTCACTCCTCTGGAGGCTGGGAAGCCTAAGATCAAGGTGTCATTTGATCTGGGTCCTTGTGAAAGTTCTCCTCCTGGCTTACAGATGGCCTTCTCACTGTGGCCCTGCAAAGCCAAGGGAGAGGGAGAGGGAAAAAAAAGAGAGAGAGATTTGGGGGGGGGGGGTGGCTGGGAGGGGGAGAGGGAGAGTGAGCCCTCTGGTGTCTTTTCTTGTAAAGACACTAATCCCTTCATGAGAGCCCCACCCTCATGACCTGGCGTGTGCACGCTGCTTGCTAAGTCGCTTTAGTGGTGGCCGACTCTATGCGACCTGTGGACTGTAGCCTGCCACATTCCTCTGTCTATGGGGTTCTCCAGCAAGAATACTGGAGTAGGTTGCCATTTCCTTCTCCAGGGGATCTTCCCAACTCAGGGATCAAACCCACATCTCATGTCTCTGGCATTGGCAGGTGGGTTCTTTTGCCTCTAGCGCCACCTGGGAAACCCTCATGACCTCAACTAACCCCGATTGCCTCCCCAAAGCCCCATCTCCAAATACACCGGGGTCAATATTTCAACATGTAAACATTGGGGAAACGTAAATATTCAGTCCTTAACCCCACACTACCTTCAACATTCACTCAACAAACATTTATTGAGTGTCAGCTGCTGGGAATCATTAGCTGGGCCCTGCCCCCTTACTCCTTATTGTGGTTCTGCTGGTCTGGTCAGCATGTCCCATGGCGGTCCCTCTGGAATGGCCTCTCCTTTCTTCCCTGACCTTGTATCAGCCTCCAAAAGTCCTTCTCCTCTCAGAAGCCCTCTCAGAAGCCCTCTCTGCCCCTTTAATTCCCATCACACGTCACACTCCTCTCCCCAGATTTACTGGACTCCATCTCCTATTCATGTTCTCTGGGTGTCAGTCTCCCGCCAACCCTCACTCCAAACACACACAGGTCAAGAACTTTAAGAGGATGGGGACAAGGTCAATGTTATCTCCACCTCGCCCAGCAGCAGTTAACCCTGAGCTCTGAGCATGGTTGGGACTTGATTGCCCTCCTCATTGATTGCTGGTATTGAGTTGTATTCTGCAGAGATGCTTTGTTGATGGGGTTTGATGAAAAGATGGAGCAAGGGGGATGACTGATAATTTTACCAGGCAAACCTGATTATTCTCTCCCCACTGTAAGCTTTTCACTGCTTCCCCTGCCCACTCTTTTTGTATAAATGTCAATCCCTTGAACCTTAAGGGCCAGTAAGCTGCTTTGTAATCTAGGTCCTGCTTACAGATCCAGCTTCACTTGGAAACTCCAGTTACCCTGAACTACTCGCCCTTGCTTCACTCTCTTGCCTCTGACCTTTTGCGCATGTTATTCCATCTGCCAGCATCAGTCTCCCCAGTATCTCTCCTCTTTCTTCTGGTCAACACTTAGCTTGCTCCAGGAAGTTATTCCTGACACCCTCCCACCACCACTCCCAAAGCCCGGTCTGATGGTACCCTATGCACTCCCGTAGGACCCTGTACTTCTCTTGTTGTAACCTTTATCATGGTCATTGCCTGTTTAATTGTAAGATCTTTGTAGGCAGTAACTACCTCTACCCAGTGTAACTTGGTACCCATGGGAACTGACAGTGCCTAGAACCTTGCCTTTCAAGTTGGCAGCATCAGCATCACTCATGCGCTCCTTGGAGATGCAGCTCTCACTAGCCCTTCCCCAACCCCTAACCTACTCTACCACTGTCTGTACTTTAACAAATCCTGGGGAACTTGTGTGCACATGAAAGTCTGGGAAGCACTTATCTAGGTCAGTGATTCTCAAACACTAGGGAATTTTAAAAGCTGATGCCTGGGTCTCCCCGGACCTGAGATTCTGACATACATGTTTGATCTGAGGGGAGGGCTTACATATCTGCAGTGTTTAAAGCTTTTCACATGATCTAATAAAGCGCAGGGCTTAAGAATAACCCTGGTCTACTCAGGATATACCCCTCGAATGAATGGACTAACATCTATTGAGCATTTCAGAGAATCCTCACAACACCCTGTGGATAGGAAATGATACTGTCCCCATTTCATGGATGAGGAAGGTAAGGTCAGGCTGGGGTGAAGAATTGCCCCAAGTAGTGGCTGAATCTGAAGCCTGTGATCTTTGCTTTGCTCCAAGCTGCCTCCCAGGACAAGACGAGGACAGTCCTCAGGAAGAAGACTCAGCTCCATCCTGCCTTCTTCTCCCCATGCAGGCAGCAGCCCCTGTAGGCACATGGGGAAACAAGCCCCTGGGGGTACCAGGAGGCAAAAACACACATAAATAAAACTTGAACCCCAGTGCCCGCCGTGAAGATTAGGCATGTATTTATAAAAACGACCAGAGCCACTGTTCCTCGGTTTCGTGTTTCATTTACGGCGAACACAAATAGCTTCAGCACGAATATCTGGGATCAAAACAGAGCTGAGGTTCCGGAGCATCTGTGCTATAGGAGGTGCAGTATGCACTGAGATAATTTTAGCCGAATGTGTTATAAACAAGATCTGCAGAACCGCGCGGCGGGCTGAGTTTTGAAAACTTAGGATTCTAAATGTATAAATTGTTTGGAACATTTAACATCTAGTCATTAAGCAGTCACCCCCTTGCCCTTCGTTTTCAGCAAGAAGCCTGCAGCACGGCAGCCTCCAGCTGACACCGCCTTCCCAAGTATTAAATAGGGACCACTGGGCTGTGATACACACACACACACAGGCACGGGCACACACCAGCTGGTCCAGACCGTTCCTTGGAAGGCAGAAACAGCACCAAGGCAAAACATCCGTTCACCGCTGTGCGGCAAAGGCTGTTTCTCAGGGACTGAGGCCTTTTTTTTTTCGATTGAATTTTTAAAACAGTCTTACACCTCGGGTTCCAAAAAGCCTCCCTAGGATGTCAGGGGGGAAGTAGGGAGCCGGGGAGGAAAGAAGAAGGGCACTGGGATGTTTATACATCATGATGTAGTGTCTACACTGCCTGCCTAGGCAAGGATACTGTTCCCTTTTTACAGGAGATAAAGCTGAGGCTGGGGAAGTGGCATACCCAAATCAAAGAACTGTCAGGAAGCAAAGCTGGGATTTAAACAGAAGGGAAATAATTTAAATGGCAGCCAGATGGCAGACAGAGAGTCTTGTACTCACTTGAGTCTTCCCTTTTAGAATACCTGGAACACTTCTTTTTGTCTATTAAACAATCCCTTTTGAATCACAGCACTATGCCTACACAGTAACAAATGGTACAGAAGAGGTTGTGATAACAAACAAGTCTTCTTCCCTTTTCCATCCCACCTCCAACCATCCATCTCATCTGGGAAAAGCAACTTTGAAAAAAAAAAAATAGTTTGTCTTTCTGACTCTCTAGTGGGTAACTTGATATCTCTAGCTAATTTGTTTTTTTTTTTTTCTATTTCTTGGTTTATCATCTTTATACCATGATCAACCCCATGATCTAAAAGATGGGAA